CAGCACATCAAGGTATGTCACGTCATGAGTGACATTGCGATACATCCAGCACATCAAGGCATATCACGCCATGGGTGACATTGCGATACATCCAGCACATCAAGGCATGTCACGTCATGAGTGACATTCCGATACATCCAGCACATCAAGGTATGTCACATCATGAGTGACATTGCAATACATCCAGCACATCAAGGCGTGTCACGTCATGAGTGACAATGCGATACATCCAGCACATCAAGGTATGTCACGTCATGAGTGACATTGCGATACATCCAGCACATCAAGGCATATCACGCCATGGGTGACATTGCGATACATCCAGCACATCAAGGCATGTCACGTCATGAGTGACATAAAGATACATACATCACATTAAGGCATGTCACGTCATGAGTGACATTGCGATACATCCAGCACATCAAGGTTTGTCACGTCATGAGTGACATTGCGATACACGCAGCTCATCAAGGCATATCACGCCATGGGTGACATTGCAATACATCCAGCACATCAAGGCATGTCACGTCATGGGTGACATTGCGATACATCCAGCACATCAAGGTATGTCACGTCATGAGTGACATTGCGATACATCCAGCACATCAAGGCATATCACGCCATGGGTGACATTGCGATACATCCAGCACATCAAGGCATGTCACGTCATGAGTGACATAAAGATACATACATCACATTAAGGCATGTCACGTCATGAGTGACATTGCGATACATCCAGCACATCAAGGCATGTCACATCATGAGTGACATTGCGATACATACATCACATCAAGGCATGTCACGTCATGAGTGACATTCCGATACATCCAGCACATCAAGGTATGTCACGTCATGAGTGACATTGCGATACACCCAGCACATCAAGGCATGTCACGCCATGGGTGACATTGCAATACATCCAGCACATCAAGGCATGTCACGTCATGAGTGACATTGCGATACATCCAGCACATCAAGGCGTGTCACATCATGAGTGACATTGCGATACATCCAGCACATCAAGGCATGTCACGTCTTGGGCCTGTAAATATTAAAATCCGGTTCAAGGATCAACTATCAGCGATGGACCCGATATCACACTGTCACTCAGCCGACACATTTTAACCAATCTATCCTCATCTTTCATCTGAATATGACATTGGCGATCATTCAATTCACGAATTGCATCAAACATATCTTAATACATGAAGTGGCCGTTCTTCTGGATATTTCTCGGAACGGTTGTTTACTGTTACTGTTTTTTAACTTTGAAAGAACCTGAAAAAATGAACTTGGTCTTCTTACAGCATTTGATTTCAAAGCCATTTCAGCCCCTGTTGCAATACGTGCACCACAACTCAAATCATCAGGCTTCTATGCATTTTTGTTATATCGGACATTTAATCATAAACTTGCACCTTCACATCTGTCCACCTGCCCAGGTACATATTCCATGCTGCCCCTGTTTCAGTAACATTTCTTGTATAACCGTATGAATTATTTATTTTGTCTTAATATCAACAGATATTGATTTAAGGATTGAGTGACGGAGTTGGGTTTAACACCGCTTTTAACAGTATTTCAGTTATGGGCGTGTCAGCTTAATGTGAGAGGAAAGCCCGAAGTGATGCAGGTCTCAGACGTTTACCACTTTGGTAAAACCCACGAGCACTGGTATAGTGTTGACAAACCTAGAAACATCATCTTGGGAAAACACGAGTGGGGCACCCGTGCCCCATAGATTTGAGGATTGTTTTCTGTGAGCGAAAGGTTGAGTTATATAAAATGCTAAACTACACTTGCCTATCTAATACCATTCACATGTAATTACTTCATCTTGACACATGAAGGCTGACCGCATGTGGTAAATCTTGAATCAAGGCTGAAGAGTAAATATCATGTGCCTCCCTTACCCTAACTGAATGACACGAAGCGGGGATCCATTTCTTTTAAAACGCATGTGTGACGTTATCCTATTGTTTAAATAACCCATTATTTTCCTATAAAGGACAGTTCGTTGTCAATTATCTATGCCCTCGTCATCTTGAAACCACATGTCATTTAATGCTTTGAATTCAATCTTAAAGAAAATTTATGTCTACATCGACTCGAACCCGCATCGTATGGAGATCATGCGACAGCGATATGTACACTCTGTGTGAATTTAACTAAATTAAATAATTGCTATAAATAGTTTATGATATCATAAGGCTAAAAAAGTAATATGAATTGTCTGGTTATAAAACAATGTTACCTAAATCAATATTCATGTTAAAGTAATGTGATAACACTTTATGAGAAATGTGAAACAACAACAACCTGAAACACATGTATCCTTGTCCCGGGCTCTACATGTCATGTTCTCAAAACGTGCTAGCGATTTATAAAATACTTGCTAAGGGCCCCACGAAATTGTAAACCATGTACTGAACAACTTGCGACAGAGCACGTGCGTCAGCAGCAATTGATACATTACACGCGCATCACACAAGAGCGACTCACAAAGTATGAATACAAACTACAATCAGTTGTCATTTATGTTTTGTCAAAAAATAAACCTGTCTAAAATTGGAGACATTTGTCGCAACTGTCGGCTCGTGAGAATCCTCGTGTGTTCTTCTTTACGGTGACGGTGGATATACCTTCTGTTCAGTATACAGTGACTGACATTGTCATATTTCCGTACTTCCTCTTCGCCCCTTTTCATTTTTAGTTTATGCACAAATTGTTCATCATTATTGTGTTTTCCAAAGTTGTTTGACACAAATGCGTGAATGTTATTTATCACAATGTAAATAACCGTGTTGATATCATGAGCAACAGTCAGTCACACCACACGTTGTAAACATCGGATGCCCATTTATTAATTTTATATAAACTACGAGGACATAGAAGGAACATGCATAGGCTGACACATGACTTCACTCAGCCGACACATTTTAACCAATCTATCCTCATCTTTCATCTGAATATGACATTGGCGATCATTCAATTCACGAATTGCATCAAACATATCTTAATACATGAAGTGGCCGTTCTTCTGGATATTTCTCGGAACGGTTGTTTACTGTTACTGTTTTTTAACTTTGAAAGAACCTGAAAAAATGAACTTGGTCTTCTTACAGCATTTGATTTCAAAGCCATTTCAGCCCCTGTTGCAATACGTGCACCACAACTCAAATCATCAGGCTTCTATGCATTTTTGTTATATCGGACATTTAATCATAAACTTGCACCTTCACATCTGTCCACCTGCCCAGGTACATATTCCATGCTGCCCCTGTTTCAGTAACATTTCTTGTATAACCGTATGAATTATTTATTTTGTCTTAATATCAACAGATATTGACTTAAGGATTGAGTGACGGAGTTGGGTTTAACACCGCTTTTAACAGTATTTCAGTTATGGGCGTGTCAGCTTAATGTGAGAGGAAAGCCCGAAGTGATGCAGGTCTCAGACGTTTACCACTTTGGTAAAACCCACGAGCACTGGTATAGTGTTGACAAACCTAGAAACATCATCTTGGGAAAACACGAGTGGGGCACCCGTGCCCCATAGATTTGAGGATTGTTTTCTGTGAGCGAAAGGTTGAGTTATATAAAATGCTAAACTACACTTGCCTATCTAATATCATTCACATGTAATTACTTCATCTTGACACATGAAGGCTGACCGCATGTGGTAAATCTTGAATCAAGGCTGAAGAGTAAATATCATGTGCCTCCCTTACCCTAACTGAATGACACGAAGCGGGGATCCATTTCTTTTAAAACGCATGTGTGACGTTATCCTATTGTTTAAATAACCCATTATTTTCCTATAAAGGACAGTTCGTTGTCAATTATCTATGCCCTCGTCATCTTGAAACCACATGTCATTTAATGCTTTGAATTCAATCTTAAAGAAAATTTATGTCTACATCGACTCGAACCCGCATCGTATGGAGATCATGCGACAGCGATATGTACACTCTGTGTGAATTTAACTAAATTAAATAATTGCTATAAATAGTTTATGATATCATAAGGCTAAAAAAGTAATATGAATTGTCTGGTTATAAAACAATGTTACCTAAATCAATATTCATGTTAAAGTAATGTGATAACACTTTATGAGAAATGTGAAACAACAACAACCTGAAACACATGTATCCTTGTCCCGGGCTCTACATGTCATGTTCTCAAAACGTGCTAGCGATTTATAAAATACTTGCTAAGGGCCCCACGAAATTGTAAACCATGTACTGAACAACTTGCGACAGAGCACGTGCGTCAGCAGCAATTGATACATTACACGCGCATCACACAAGAGCGACTCACAAAGTATGAATACAAACTACAATCAGTTGTCATTTATGTTTTGTCAAAAAATAAACCTGTCTAAAATTGGAGACATTTGTCGCAACTGTCGGCTCGTGAGAATCCTCGTGTGTTCTTCTTTACGGTGACGGTGGATATACCTTCTGTTCAGTATACAGTGACTGACATTGTCATATTTCCGTACTTCCTCTTCGCCCCTTTTCATTTTTAGTTTATGCACAAATTGTTCATCATTATTGTGTTTTCCAAAGTTGTTTGACACAAATGCGTGAATGTTATTTATCACAATGTAAATAACCGTGTTGATATCATGAGCAACAGTCAGTCACACCACACGTTGTAAACATCGGATGCCCATTTATTAATTTTATATAAACTACGAGGACATAGAAGGAACATGCATAGGCTGACACATGACTTCACCTGGTTATGGGGAAGTGCACTCGATGAGGCCTTTTTCCTCGGGAATGTATGCATGTTTGACGTGTTACGAGCCATGCATTACTTTATATGTAAATATGTGTGTTGCCATGCCTGATCTACTTCTTTCATACAGACAAACCTAAACAGCGTCTATCCTTTTTAAAACGCTATTTTTGTTCATTTTACTAAGCATGTCGTTTCGGCTATTTGGGCACATCAAATGTTAATAGATAGTTTGTGTGTCATGTGAGACGCATGGTGTCATAAATATCAGTCACATTTGTCCAACAATTCACTTCTTGGTGGTTCACAATGAACAGATCTAAATAGAAACGTAATCTTCTTCCTGGTCTGTGCGCCAGGGTGTCATAATGGCGGTATGGGCCAGGGTTGTGTTTTCGGTGGCCAGTCTGAGTCTCGCAGCAGGTAGGTACATTCGTTACCTTCCCGAGATTGATCACAAGATATTTGAATATCATTGTACATTTATGAGTTCTACTTTTACACAATCGTTGAGACACGTGTACCGAATGGTATATCAGACAACATTGTCATTGTTGAACTGGTACCTGAAATCACCTTGTGTCATATATTAGGAAAATTATGAGCGAGCTCTCTCAATATACTCAAATGTCGCCTAATAGACAATTGACAAAAGAGCATAATTTATTCACGGTCACAATATAATCATATCATACATGGTAATGAAGTATGCAATGGTGGCATGTCATCCTTATATGCTTAATATGCCTCCGTGGTCTAGTGGTAGAGCGTCCGCCCGGAGAGCGAAAGATCCGAGGTTCGATCCCCGGCCGCGTCATACCAAAAGACGTTGAAAGATGGCACTTGTTGCTACCCTGACTGGCGCTCGGCATTAAGGGGCTAAAACAAAGACTGGTCGGTTCGGAGTCAGTATAGTGTGTCTGAGTGTGGTATTCATGTTAAACTGCGGCATGGTATCTAAGTGGGATAGCACTACTAATCGGCATCAGCCCGGACTATTGCCAGCACCCACCCCCCACACACGTGCATGCACGTCGTTATACAAGTACAATAATCTGGCGCGCGAGGCTAAACCCTATTACCCCTCACCTATATGACATCCAAGCTTGAACGTTGATTGTATCACTAACGGTACCACTGTGGCCTAACGGGGGCAATGTAGCCGAGATACACACACATTTAGACCCTGTCATCACTAGTTTAACACAAATCTAGCCTTTAATGTTTCCTCGCGTCGATAGTGGGAAAGGTTGACTGGCCGCGTCTCGCCACCCGACATTACTTCCTGATTGACTGTCACGGTTGAATCAACAGGCTTGTTATTGTGTGGATAGCAGCCGTGTAGAATACTCGTACTCGGATTACCGTCACGCGTGGATACGTCTGTGCGTAGAAAGGGCAAGTTGAAATGCAAAATTTGTGTCACAAAAGTCACTTCACAGAACAGGTCACAGGGATTCGACTGGGTATAGATTACCTTCTGATCATTCGTGAACTGCTTTGTATCAGGTTTGTAATGGAGACACGCTGACCTGTAAAGATCAATGTGTCTCTATTACAAAAGTCTTCAAACTGGAAAAACAAGCTTGCCGGCTTGTATTATTCAAGTGCAAACGACACAACTGACATTCCGAATTATATATAGATTACGTTATATCAGGGACGGATCCATGGTTAGGGCAGTGGGGGGTGGGGTGCGTGGTGTGCACCCAACAGCTTTAAAAAATCACAAACACTATATGTAAACTTTTATTTTATTTACTTTATCAACATGGCATTGCATACACAATGTCAAAATGTCATCAGATGTTAAACAAAATGTGTGTGGCCAACACTCCCCCACACCTGCCCCCCGATCCCTGCCGCGTTATCCCCTGAATCCCACACTGTTATATTGTTATACTATACATGGGAGAAATATATTGGAACAGCTTCAAGTGTTGTTAACTATTTGTGAAGCAATGTAATTCAGATAAGAAGGGCACAGGACTTTGGTGTCTGATGCATGGTCACAATTTGCATGTTTGTGGGGAAGGAAAGCTATGTACAATAAACAAAAGATACCGTTTGCCGTAAACATGCCCACGTTCAACACACCCTAAGAAAATATGTTATCAATAAACAAACGAGCCATTGCCTTAAGTAAACTTAAAGCAAGACCTGACTGTTTATTCTGTCCCTTGTAACAGCCATTGTATACACATAAACACACTCATATGTATTAGGATTTTTTTCAAACATACTTCCGTGTTTAATTTGTTGAGGAGCTGTATCACACGCCTTCACACACGTGTGTGTAAACCTGACAAACCGGGACGTCGTCATGCAGTTCAGTAGGACAGAGTCGCTTCAGGGCCCATGGCAGGTTAATGCACTTCAGCGGGAGACTATGGAAGGGACATTGTCGCGGCGTCGTCCTTATAAGAACAATCAAACAGTTGCAAAATTAAACAAAGCGCGACAATGCGTCATTATGGCCATGTGTCGCATTGTAGCGCTTTGTATAATATTTTTTTATTTTACCAAAGGGCGACAATGCGAGATCGCGACTTTTTTCAAGGTTAAAATATATCGCGTTGTCGCATTGTCGAATTGTCGCCACATCTAAAATGCGCCACAACGCGACATTGCGACAAAGCAAGATATTGCTGATGTCGCATTGTTACATGGTCGCCCTTTTTGATTGATGGTGCGCATGGGTACTAAGTGAATTAATCTACGCACACGAAAACATGGTTTTACTCTTTTGGTCTATACCCCAGTTGTCTTTTGCTAGCTCCAGTTGTTCTGAAACCAAACTCGCAAGGGCCCTCGGGCTGCTTTTCTCATAATCAAAACAGTTCTTTCATTGTTGCTTTAGGCGTTATTTCATACATCCTTATTGTCGGTGTCGGGTTTTTTCTATACACGAAACGAATTTCACAGCAAGAAAAAACTCTTTGCCTTTCTATTAAATTTAATTCCGGTATCCGACAACTTATCAAATACACGAGGGCTCACGGATATGCGTTAACTTCAGAAACCTATGATCGTGAGTTCGAATTCCCGGTTCGCCCTGATTATTTATGTTGCTTGTTTTGTACCTACATCACTTCCGGCTTTCCTCCCGCATCTGGCTGACACGCAGTGACATCGTAAAAAACTGTTCAGGCAAAGTTAAACAATACTCAATCACACACTCACTCATTCATGACATCCTTTTGGACGAAACGACGCCTAAAGAGCTTGGTATTCATCACTGAAACGAACTGTAGCCCAATCCTGGTCTGTTGTGACATGTCGGGTCAGTGGGATGCGAATGCTTGCCCTCCGTTGGCGAAGACCAACCCTGTTAGAGACGATTATACACGAAGTAGAGACGTTAACGACACTTGCGCCTTGCAGGTCATTTTCCAACAAACAATCGACATATGGTCAGCTACTGATACCACTCAGGCGAACATTAGAGTGTGAAAAGTATATTGTTAATTGAAATATAGAAAACAATTGTGATCTATTTCAAAAAGTACCATCGGAGTACCATAATAGATATTTCCTAGTGCTTAAGAACTAATTAATGTGCTTGCATGAATCTTTAACTTCCTTCAGAACATTCATTGGTTGGTTGGTTTGTTGTTTAACGCCGCAATCAGCAATAAATGCTATTTTGACATCTGAATAACACCTTCTTTGTTTACCGTGACTTCTTTGGTTTAACGCTAGTGCTTCAAGTCAAGTCAGCTTTATGTTGGGTGAAAGCCAAAATCTGAAATTCGAATCCACGATCATAGGATCCAGGTACGAATCAGGGACGAAACTCTACACAGGTGTTGTTTAACCATATATGTATAGGCTACTACACCAGTGGTGTCCCTACAGATCACCAGATCTTGAGTCTTGAGTCTTTACATTGAGTTGGGACCGCCTGAAGACCCGGGGTACGATCCCCGGCCGCGTCATACCAAACGACGTTAAAAGATGGTACTTGTTGTTACCCTGTCTGACGCTCGGCATTAAGGGGCAAAACAAAGACTGATCGGCTCGGAGTCAGTATACTGAGTGGGGTATTTATGTTACCCCCCCCCCCCCCCCCCCCACACACACACACACACACACGAACACACACACGAACACACACACACACACACACGAACACACACACACACACACACAGCGACGTACATGCACGTAAGTAAGTGCAAATATCTTGGACGCGACGTTAAACCTCATTCCACCTCACCTCACATTCAGGTGGTTAAAGTTTGCTTACATTTTAAAACATGTCTGTTATACTACAGGTGTGAGACAAAATGTCGCCCTGAAAAAACCAGCATGGATGAGTACAACACGCAACCCTTCACAGTCTGCTGGTAATGCTGTAGACGGAGTGACTACTGCAGTCAACGAGACGTTCTCAGTCCACACCAAAGGTAATGAAACTACGGCCTGGTGGAAGGTGGACCTACAGACACAAGTACAGTCAGCACAGGTTAAAATCTACTTCAGGACAGACTGTAAGTGTATTATACTCATGTTAGATCATATATGCTGCTTCCTGAATCCCACTGCACCGTATCAGGATGCTTACTGTGACCGTCACAGTATACGTTGATGTTGTTATAATATATACCTGAAACTTGGTTGTACAATACTTGTATAATAGAAGCTTCGCTTACAAGATACTAGCTGACAGAAATCCACAGTAGATTTAACCCGATGGTGAGGGTGTGTCATTAAAGCAGTAATTTAATAGTGAGTGAGTATGATTTTACGCCGCTTTTAGCAATATTCCAGCAATATTACGGCGGGGGACACCAGAAATGGGCTTCACACATTGTACCCATGTCGGGAATTGAACCCGGGTCTTCGGCGTGACGAGCGGACGCTTTAAGAAGCCTCCCCGACCCCACCTTGTCTCCCCCCCCCCCCCCCCCCCCCCCCCCGGCTGGCTACGGCACTGCGTTCTCTATACCCCGAAATTATGGTAACTCACAATTGCCAAATGCATCACTTCTGATGTTCATGGTGAAATGTATTTTATGTATTTTGTAGCATTTCAGTGCAAAGCATAAAGTTGTCTGATCGTATTCAGGTCTAAATTTGTCAACGCATAACCGCATATTACCGACCCGTTAATGTTGACCCGTTAAGAAACGGCACTTTCTTGGAACAGGTAAATACACGTGGGTAAATCGACTGATGAGACAGGATAATTACAGACTATTAAAACGGGGCAAGTTATTTAAGAACTGAACGTCAGTTTGGATGGGTTCATTGAAGTGTGAACGATTTAAAAGCGCTGGTTAAACTGTGTGAACCTGCTTGCGACGTTCAATTCTTATAATTTCATTCTTTGTAGTTTACTGGTCTCGCCGAATATTATCGTAACATTGTTTATTTAAATTTGAAGTCCTCTGGTTGCGCCGAAAAACATTGCAACAATGTTATTTTGTCGGTATTTGCCGGCTCTCGGTCGCATACGTTTCCCCACTCAAATTCAGTTACGCAAAGAAAAATAGTTCTTTGAATATATACAATATAATCTAGAAATATGTCAACATAATTTCATTCTCTGAACAAATTTACAAACAATATTTGGGCTAAATCAAATCTTAAAAATAGGTTACAGGAGAGGTCAATCTTCAAGCGCGGATTTATATATGACGTCACATAAGTTTGTAAAGAGGTGCATTTCGAGTCGAACGGGAGCATGAGGATGACATTTATACTTACTGCTGTTGAAAATGAAGTTTATGGAGGAGTTATGGAAAACACCCCGACGCTTGAACCCTCTCATGGCACTAGCAAATTGGGAATATCACCGATTTATAAATATGTTGCTTGTGTTTGGATAATCGCAAACCAATTCGGACGATGCGGAATGGACTGGTGGGGATTGAACCGAGTGCTCTGAAACTTGCGTGTTTTGTGTTAAGTTTCAACGTCAGGCAGTGTTATATTTGGAGTTTGGGATTTGTCGCGTGTGCTGTAACACTTTGTTTAAGTGGTGTTTCTTGTCACCTGAGATGGACCTACTGTTTGATCAGCTTCATTTCTGTGCCCCGTCACTCCTCGTGTGCTGCCGCTTCTCGGCCTAGAATGCACGGAGAAGGTCGGCCAAATCAGAAACCGGAATAGCAGATTTCTAATTCCGTCTACGGATATTTTGTCTTCTCCGATGACCAATCAGTAAAACAGGCAAGTTTTTTTTTTTAAATGTTTGTTTATGTTTTATGGTTTCTCAAAGTCTTGGATTTTTTTCCCGATGCGATAGTGATTCGGGTGTAAGTTTGGGATTGATCAGGAGCAGCCGCGTTTGCTCTGTGTCAGCGGCCACATCTGAGCAGGGTGCTACATTGTTTTCACTGTTGCTAGATTCCTGTCATTTCCGAAAACAAGGCATCAAAGTCAATATCGCTCAATAAATCAATTTCGTTCACCTCAGAAATTTTACACAATTTATTTTCTTTATTTACGTTATTAGTATTGAAAGATAGCCATTCCATATCCATATCACCATAAGGTCAATCCATTTGGTTTCATGTAGCAGCTAGACGACATCAAACACCAGAACCAAAGCATTTATTTATTCATAAGTCAGATGAAATGTTACAAGACGAGGCAAAATATTCAATTAATTATATTGCTGATAAATGCAGTTATTAAAAAGAAAATAGAAAAACGAGTTAATCGTAAACACCGATCCAGAATTCGGGGAAACCCCGGAAAGTAGTTCCGACAAAAGTTCACACGATCAATTTCACAACAACAAAAATCACATTGTGTGAATTTTTTTATCCGTTCACAGGTGTGTGAACTCCAAATATCAGATCACGTGACTACCCCTTCAGCCAATCAGCATGAAAGAAACAGTGTAAACTTCAAAGTATGACATTATTCACTGATAACCAGCAAAGTCCATTTGAAAGGTGACGCAGATCAACCATATACTAGTAATATGCTAGTTGTATGTATATGGTGGTCAGTAATAGCACAGACTGAGTGTTAATGATTTGTGTATCATATTCTGTGATTTGTGAGTGTCATCGCCATCTCTCTAGAAAACTGTACAGATCTGTTTGTCACTTTAAAATTTTAGATATTTATGTTAGTGGCTGTTATCATCTTAAGCGAAAAGCTCTAAGCCATAATTTTGTCAATTCATGCTAATTCCAAAGTTGATAACACATATTGGAATGCACGACAAGAAACTATTGTTATTGAAAAAAATAGTAATAATCTGCACATTTGACAGAAAGACGACTGTACACTTCGTATATTGAAGTGTTTCCCGATATAGTGTAGTGTCTGGTCTGAGCCAAGTAAAGTGATAATACAAAACTCAACATAAAACAGATGAGGAATAATTGAATAATAGACCCGAAAGGAATAAATTGATGACCAATGTTGTCAATACAAACATTCATACATATTTCATAGGCGCAATACAGCATTTGTCTCACTTCGGAAGCCAAATTAAGTAAACATCACAATTGTTTTACACAGTTGATAATACCAAAAACAATTGGCGTAGCGCCGTAGACGAAATTTATAATATACTGCAGTTTCAAAGCATTCTGAAGTTGAGAAAAAGGATATTTTCATTGCACTGAACATGTCACTTGCTATTTCACTGCAGTGAACATAACACTTTGACGGAACTATTATCATACAAGAGTTACCTCCCCGCAAATTGTTTCCCTTTATCGTAAGTATCTGGACCTTACACAAACTGTTGACTTCGTTTTCACGTTAGTTTCACAATTACAAGGCAAATACCGACAGGCGGTCATTAATAGGTTAATGTCTCTTCTTGTCGTTTGATACTCTTTTGAAAATGTTTCGTTATAAACAGTAACTTTTTCATTTAACTCGTCAATCAAGACTGATCGTTTTGCAAAGCGCAGTTTTGTAACTTGACCAGAGTGTATTCCTTCGCTTTCAACAGCGGTCTCGTACTGCTTTTTAAGTCGCAATTACAAGGGATGGTAAAACGCCCCTGAGTGTTAAGTAGGGAGAATTTACGCTTCAAGGTTTTACATTTGTAATGAAAACAAATATTTTTTCAGTAGACAATAAACAAAAAGTATATAATAAATAGTTTATCCTCTATAGATTCCAAACATTTGTACTCACGTATATCATGTGGTCGTAAGCAAGATGTAAGGCTGCACAGGCATATCTAAAAGTCAGATACATAGATACATATCATGACAAGATGACGCATACGCAAACGTATTTTTTCAGACATGCGTCGACGCAATGGCCTTCAAATCTACACCTCAATGGCAAATTCATCTGACGCCAAAGACGGAGATATATGTTACACAGTTGGAGGGAATAAATACGGCACAGACATCCGTGATGTATTGACTAAGACCTGTCCTGGCACCTGGCGCTACCTCACTGTCTACACCGAGACAAGTAATGATGGTACTGGTGCTGTGTTAGACTTTGCTGAGGTACAAGTGTGGAGTAAGTATAAAAATAATCCCAGCCACGATATTACTAATCACCAGTTTCCAGAGAGTTCATGCTAGTCATGTTTTATGTGGATACACTGTTTGTGTTTCAGGAAAGAAGTTTACGACACCCAATACAATTAGGGAGACCACTTCTAAACGTGTAAATGACATGGCTGACTTGTGATGCTACGTAATACTCAATGCTGTCAGTAAATGATGTAGTCAGCAAACACACATTTTCTATCCCCTTAGGTATAACTATAAATATAATTGAGAATTTAGAAATTGTAATCAGTTGGCAATGTTACAGTCGTGACAGAAATGACCTCTGTAGTAGAGTGAGTGACTGAGTATGGTTTTACGCCGCTTTTATCACGGCGGAGGACACCAGAAATGAGCTTCACACATTGTAGCCATGTCGGGAATCGAAACCGGGTCTTCGGCGTGACGGGCGAACGCTTTAACCACTAGGCTATCGGAGATGTGAAATCGGAACAGGGCATATCAATCAGCAACAGTCTCCATTCATTACCCTATGATGGTTCTAGTTTTGTCATTCCCAAATCCCAGGTTTGGCGATAAAGCATTATTGTATGGGCATTTGACATCATATGGTGTCACGTAAATAAACAAAGCAAAGGTAACATTCTTATCAGACTATTCATATTGTGTTATATGTTTAAGCTAAGGTAAATACATGACATAAAATGGTCAGCAGACCTATTAAATATACCACATTGATCTGTACTGTTTTGTTGAAACACTTAATTAATGTGACTGACGGTCTGGGTCTGATAAGAGAACATATAGAATGTGTTTCCCGGCTTTAGAATTTGTTTCTAGTTTTAATGTGGATTTCTTTGATAAACCTCGCACTTGATGTTATGAGCACTAATGTTGTAAAAGATGTTAGGAACGAACAAAAACGCAAAACAAATGCACTTATATGTCAAGCTCATGTAATCTACAAGGTTAGTAAATCCTTAGACATGTTGAGTGTACCATTCTGGTATTGACTACACAATACGAGACACAATACTAGTACATATTTGCATGTCTTCTCGCATAAGATTGGGTAACCTTGATTTAAGCTATTTTATGATAATGTTATATAACCTGCCTTAGCCTCACTGGTTCTATTCAGGTCACATTATAAGCTTTGAGCATTCCATATCTGACAAAATGTAGTTACTCTCTGAAATGAAACCTCGATAATGTTGTCATTGCGTTACTCAGAGGGTTCTTGCAAAGTTTGTTTATGTTCTTTTTACTCATACCTCAATGAACCGAAACAAGTAAACAGCCACTCCTTTAATTAAATTTCTTAACAGCATTTGTGCGAACAATAGTTTAAAGACAGCATGTAGATAACAACACATATTGCAAAACATTCCTGGCAAAGGAATATATTTTGTAGCGTGGGTAGGCCCATGGGCGAGAATATGTTCCTTTACTTTAAACTCATGTTTTTGTTTCGCAAATACATAAGTGTATATCTTTCAAGTATCATGGCACAAAATTTAACTCATTTTAACTTAATTCAACTATTTTATAGCGATATTGAAATATTTCGCCCATGGGCGAGAAAAAGGTTTGGCACATGGGCGAGCATATTTTCCTTTGCTCAACAGTTTTAGTTTCGCAAATACATTAAGGGATTATAAGCATGACACATGATTTAACTCATTTTAACTTAATTCAACTAATTTTTGGCGTTATTAAAATATTTCGCCCATGTTTTCATTAGTCCCTTTAAAGAATTAACTAATTGTTTACAAAGTATATTGTATCATGTGAAACACACTTTGTATCATATCATTACTTTACTATTTAAAAAGGGCCTTTGGTTGGATGTTTCCTTTGCAGAAGTTTTACAAATTTCACCTTTTTACGTATTGCAACGATCTTTAATGAACCCGGCCTTATCTCTCAAAACGTTTTGACAGTTTATCACACGAATTCATGCGCGTGTACACCAATGCATTGGCGTTATTTTCCAACGAATTAAAGTTTAGTTTGTTTCTTTTTCATTTCCCATTTTATGTCTCGTTAATACATCACACTGGGAAATTAAGTGATACTAGATATGCCATATACAGGTACACATGCACGTATTTTAATAGGGAAAAAACCCGATTCGTCTTTTATTGCATAACGTCTAGCTCGCGAAATCTCGAAATAATTATTTCATTATATGCGGAGTGAATATTATGACACTAAAGGAACTTTTAAATGCATTGTCACTTTTGGTATGAAAATGGTAACAGTTCAGAAGAAAACAGCCTTCTTATGATAATTCTCCTATTCTCATTAGTATGTTGTATCTAATTACAGTGTCGGCATTATTCACAGGTGATTCTACAATACCTGCTCTCGGTCAATTACGATCTACCACACCACCCGTGAATAAACAGTTATGCAGGTGTTGCTGTGGCAAATACCTAGCCTGTATATGTATATTTTTTGTGGATACATGTATTACATATTTTCGTTGATATGTGGATATATTAAGCACAAAGACAAAAATAAGTTTATGAAAGATGAATTAGTGCCTTGATATATTCAACGAGATGTGTATCATCGTTTAATTGGTCATTCAATAAAAGTATGTTTGGAGGAGATATCAAAGGAGCCGCCCAATATACACAGTGTCGTCCGGTGAACTACCACCCTGTCCGTAAGAGTTAGGCAATCGGTATACAAATTTATTTGATGCGGTGTCCGAGTGGAAGGAGTTTGAATTACGTCCGCCACTGGCCACAGAGGTAATCCTCAAAGTATGGTAACAATCAACAAGGTCAATGCCGTACTAATTACCTAGTGACGCACGTAGGAACGACTGTCAATCTGTCTGCTACAGCTACCATACCATCATCCCTGTCACAACTGGCATATCAACGGCTTATTCAAAATAATAATTGTAGAAACGTCGTTAAGAGACTAACGTATGTCGTATACAGTCCTAATATTTGACCAAAAAAAGTAAATACGTCAACTGGGAATTCAAGTGGATGTTACCTTCCTTATATCAGCTAACAGCCCTGTTTGTTAAAATATGTACTAGACATAAGATTTATAGACTAATAAAATCAATTGTAAGACCGCATAGACCATAAAACCGAATTAAATATGTCTTGGTATCATCTCTTGTGTATTAGATGATGGTAATGACCTGAAATGTTTTAACGTTAGATTAGGAAGGAGAGACATTAAAGTGTTTTATAATACTTGGGAACATGAGCAATAAGATGTAGCAACATAAACATGCATGGAATGGAATAGGGAAAATGGTGAAAACAAATTGAAAAGGGTTTTAATACAAAATTATTAAAATAAATAATTAGCCTGAACACAAGGGGTACCAAAACTTGTTTGACAGTTATTCGGGTGTTGTAGACTGTCGAATGGGACTCATGTGTGTACGTAGGGTACACATATCTATTGCAAGTTTTAGTACTCATACACTTTCTTTTTTTATGTTGGTATGATTTCTATTTTCGTACATGATATGATTTCATTTTTGTCTTTGGCTGCTCTGTTTATATATGTTGGAGTAGTTGTCTGTCCCTCATAAATTGACATTGCTGCCTCGGTATTGCATCTCTTGACTAAAGGAGATCTACAACATGTAGCGGATCTAACTGCAATCCTTGTTTTAACCAAGCCCGGGTTTGACATTCCAGTAACTGGATTCAGGTTGATTGCAAGATATGCATACCTCGTCATAGTGATTATTGTGAATTCCTCAAAGTTGTGTTTGTTTGTTAGTTGTTTTACGCCGCACTTTACAATATTTCAGCTACATGACGGCCTTCTGTAAATAATCGAGTCTGGACCAGACAATCCAGTGATTGATATCATGTGCATCGACCCACGCAATTGGGATACGGTGACATGCATCAACCAGGTCAGTGAACCTGACCACCCGATCCCGGTAGTCGCCTCTTACGACAAGTGCTGTCGCCCTTTCACGCAAAGAATGGGTTGTTGAAGATCTGTTCTACCCCGGATCTTCACGGGTCCATTGACGCAGGGATTTGCGTTAAGTCATTCCGACAGCATACAATGCCTACTCAATGTCTCCTCAAAGTAATATAGTACGGTACTTAGAGTACATGTGAGATTATACTCAGGTTAGGGAGATTATTATTCTACCTAACAATGTATTTAATGAAATGAATGCAAAACAAACTCAACGGTTGAAAGGTTTCATTGAAAAAGTACCCCTGGTCTTGCCTAATAAAACAACTGCAACCCGACACAGATCAAACGCAACTTACAAACACAATCATAATCTGGTCTATCTCTATCACTCAACGAGTTGGAGTAGCTTACTCTGCCCACAGTATGACAGTATTGGGCAGCTCAGTAATTAAGAGGTAAGACCAGGCAGGTACACTAGTACTGGTCACACTTGACTGGTCTGTCGGCTGATTAGATCGTCTGACAATTGGGAGTGAACCATAGCAAGTACAGCGTGATTGTTGCTCCTTTTATAGGACCGATTAGTTTTATGACCACGGGCCTCGGCACAAGCGTGGTGCTGGAAGACAAGTTATACATGTATATCCCATATGGTGACTGTTTTTCGCTATTGATATTCTAAATTCAGTCATAATACCACAACATTTTAGTACTCCTTGAAACTTTACAATCACTTCAATATGTACAATAGATTAAACGAGAACACTTGATATATTGCAGATTATTAAGTCATTGTCTCTTTTACCAGCCGCTACATTTGTAGCGTTTGCATTGTACAAAGAAATATTTTGTCTGTCCTTTTGCAGATTTAGCCCCAGAATGTGCTCATTCGAATTAGGAACGAAAATAATTGCTTATTATGAGTATATATGATAAAGTTAAAAGTTACTTGTACACTGTAGATGTATTCACTTCAAAGTCGTATACGATCTTCGCGAGCGAGTTATATCATCCAGGTTAATTGGAACGAAGTCTAGAAAGGGTTATAAAGTTTTGTATTTGGTAATGTGTAGGTTTGTTAAATAT